GAGGGAGAGGAAAGGAGAGAGGGAGGAAGAAAAATGAAGGAGGAAGAAAGGAAATAAAAGGGAGGGAGGGAGGAAATAATGGAAGGAGAGGAAGGAAGGAAATGAGGAAGAGAGGGAGGAAATATTGGAAGAAAAGGGAGGGAGAGGAAAGGAGAGAGGGAGGAAGAAAAATGAAGGAGGAAGAAAGGAAATAAAAGGGAGGGAGGGAGGAAATAATGGAAGAAGAGAGGAAGGAAGGAAATGAGGAAGAGAGGGAGGAAATATTAGAAGAAAAGAGGGAGGGAGGGAGGGACGGAGGGAGGAAATAATGGAAGGAAGAAGAGAGACAGGGAGGAAATAATGGAAGAGGAGGGAGGAAGACTTTCATATAGCACTTAATTATAACTAGCCCAAATGTTTGATTAAACACACTTCTAAAAGCATGATGCACATCGTAAATATTATTTTGTATACACTTAAAAAATAAAATTTGACTTCTGCACTTCATAATTAGTTTTGGAAGGTAGATCACCATCGTGATTTATGAAATGGCGCAGAATGGTGCACAATGCAAGTTCTACAACTGCTGTGTTAGAAGATTCTGTTCAGCATGTCTGCCAAGCCGATCCCAATAAATTAAGATTTAAAAAAAAGATGATTGATAGTTACAATATTCTTAAAATCACTCAGAAGTAAGCATCTACATAATTAAAAAATAAATGTGCATGCATACAAACGGAGTAATACAATATAGATAGTCCTTGACTTTACAACAGGTCATTTAGTAACCAATACGACGGTGCTGAAAAAAAGCAATTAAATACTTTTCACACAACCATTGCAGCATCCCCATGGTCACATGATCATAATTCAGACACTCAGCAACTGACTCATGTTTATGACGGTTGCAGTGTCCCCGGGGGCCATGCGATTCCCTTTTGCGACCTGACAAGCAAAGTCAGTGGGGGAGCCAGATTCACTTAACAACCATGTCACTAACTTAACAGCTGCAGCGATTCACATAACAAACGTGGCAAGAAAAATCCTAAAATGGGGCAAAGCTCACTTAAACAATGTTTCTCTTAGCAACAGAAATTTCTTGTTCAGTTCTGGTCGTTAAGTTGAGGAGTGTCTGTAAAATGGAAAGCGGAAGAGAACGAGATCTGCGATCCTCTTCCAATCCTTAAGGGGGCGCAGCGCTCCCTTTTTGAGGAAGCCGGTAGCGTTATGCGCCGCTCTGTACTTTCAGATCTCCGATAACGCCTGTCTCATGACGTCACTGACGAGCCCCGCGCGAATGACGCCAGTCGCTCCGCCCAGTTACCGGAGCAACCAATCAAACCGTGCATCCAAGTTTTATGCCCGAGTGAACGACGGTTCCCGTTCGTAGAGCTAGAAAACAAAAGTCGCACCTCTGCAATGATTTTTTGCTTGTAGTGTACCAACTCCACCCGTTCCTTTTCAGAAATTCAACCGACCATGAATCGAGCCACGAATGACGCCATGTCGCGCCGACGGATTTCCATGACATGGTTTTTACATAAAAGGTTTACAATCAGAAAGTAGAACCCGAGCACTGCTCTGTACTTTTGCAAATCTATAGTCCGCCTTCGGGCCTTCTCTCTCTCTCTGGGGTCACGGTTTCCGCCCGGACGGAAGAGGCGACCGGACCTTTTTCTTTGAGCGGGGAGGGTGGGGGACGGCGTTCGGCGTTGCTCGTGTCTCGGCGCTGCCTCATGGCTTTCAACTTCGGGGCGGCTGCTGGCGGCGCGGCCGCCCCAAACCCCGCGGGTGAGTGCGGAGACCAAGAGGGAGGCCCGAAGAAGGCCTTGCCGGGAACGAGTTTCCGGGCCGGAGAAGGAGGGAATGGAGAGCTGCACCCGTTGAATGCCTGCCTGGCTGTCGGCGGTTGAGCGAGTTGGGCTGCCTCAGAAACCACCAATAGGTTATTCAAAGAAATGAGTGGTATAAATACGGCAACAAAATGATAAATTAACAACAAATTACGTTTATTTTTTTAAAAGAGGACGATTAAAGTAAATAATTATAATGAAATATGGGGGGGGGATTTTATAAAATCAGTGCTGGTGGAAGGCAAAGGGAATAAACCTCGAGAATATGTGTTGTTTTGGAGGGGATAAGGGCACAATTAGAATATATTGTATATCTTTTAGTTGTTATAGGTGAAGAAATATAAAGGGGGGGAAGGTTTTCGGTGGATGGGGAGCACTATAATATTTGTTTTTTTTCTCCTTTTTCTTTCTTTTCTTTTTGTATTTACTATGTACATGTGCATAGTATTTTTTTAAAAAAAATGTTTTTTTAAAAAGAAACCATAAATAGGGAGAAAACGAGGGAGGAAAATAAAAATTACCTCAGAGAAAATGGGGAGGGTTTAGATTTTAGATTTAGATTTTAATGAGCATTTATATGCCGCCCTTTTCCCTGAGGGGACTCAGGGCGGCTTACAACAATGGGGGGAAGGGAGTGCAAGACAAGACTTAAAAGAAAAAAAATGTGAATAAAGAAATTAACCATAAAAACACAACATTCACTCAACATTCGGGCGGGGTGAGAATAATCCTATCCCCAGGCCTGACGGGATAGCCAGATCTTGAGGGGGGGTTGTCAAGAGCCAATTCTCTGAGGCAGCTTCCAGTAGGCAGGGACCCCCCAACGGAGGAGTGGACGAAAACTTGTAAAAAAATGCGGTTTATTTGTTTATACAGATAGTCCTCAACATACGATGGTTCATTTAGTGATCCTGACCTATTCGTCTCTGCTCCATTTCTACAACTCTTCTCTGAATGCCCCT